CACCACCAACACCACCACCAACACCACCACAACCACCAACAACACCACCACCAACACCACCACCACCACCACCACTACCAACACCACCACCACCACTACCAACACCACCACCACTACCACAACCACCACTACTACAACCACCACTACCACCTCCACCACCACCACCACCACCACCACTACCACCACCACCACCACCACCACCNACAACCACCACTATCACTACCACCACCATCACCACCACCACCACCACCACAACCACCATCATCACCACCACCAACCACCACCACAACTACCACTATCACTTTCACTACACAGTTATAAATTTGACTCTCACTTCGTTTTCTTTTTAAAAAAATCCCCATGTGCAGATACATTAAAATAAACAATAACTGCATACATTATTATTCATTATAATACTGATAACCGTAGTAGACCTCCCTGTATAACACCAGGTTGAGTAACGGGGTGTCCCAACAAAATGACAGATACATGTCACAGGCGAATGTAAACGAATTATATGTATGATAGTGTACTGTGTAGGAAATAACTGTTATTTTGATACTGAATACGTTATATTTGTATACATGGCGTAAGCGTAGTGGGCCTTTTAATTAGAAAAACGTACAAAATGTTCACAAAATTTCAAATATAACCAACATTGTCAACCTGCCTATATTAAGTTACAATGGTAGTCTATATTTTAAACTTCTATCAAAATTGTCCATACATATATCCTGTCTACAGAAACATTTGTATATAATATCAACACCTATAAAGCGTGCAATACATGATCTATGCCCAGTTTCACATATAAAAAAATAAAAAAAATAAAAAAAATCAACATGGCCCTAAATGACCACAGCCGTCGATGGGCCGTTAAACATAAACAAACAAACAAACAAGCTAACAAACAAACAAACGCTGATTTTTCTGTTGTTGTAACATTAATATAATAAAATTAAACAAATACATTGTATGTCAAATATTGACTTATTTGTGTTTGGAAGACATAACATAACACAACACAGGGTAAGTTGACAGGAGCACTCGCGACATAGAAATAACGCTCTGAATATTTTACAATGTTGTGTTCAACAATAAAAAATGGCAAAAAAATATACCATACCACCATCTTTAAGGTTGTCTGAGACCTCCTCCTCAATAAGTTCAAAGTTGGACGTTCGTACTTTGCCATCAAACGCCGTTTTAAGTGTCCAAACTTTGCTTTTCACCATTTTTTTTACGAAGCAATTTCGGTGGTGTTGAGACTACTTGTGTTACTTATAATAGGGGTACATACAATAAGAGGTATCCGTTTACGGATTTAAATGGAACAACCATTGTTTGTTGATGTTGGGAATGTAAACTATGCGTATATATATATATATCCTTTTTAACGATATATTTTTTATCGTATTGATGTATTTGAATACAGCTGTTGTATGCTGTAAACGAAACGTTCGTGCAATTATGCTAATGCAGCCAAGCGATAATTTTCTATACACACGTACCAGAATCGAGTTAATGACAAGAGATGACCTATTATTCTATATATATAAGCATAGTAAAAAATTTGTATATGTAACGATGAAGCCTATCCATCACCGTGCATTTCTGTTATCTTGTCATTGTGATACAAAAGGGTGTACCCGTGTCTAGATACAAAATACGGTGTCCAATGATATATATATAGATTAATACCTGTTGTAGGTATGCATAGATGTTATCAAAGTTATAAAGGTTTTTAATAGGTCAGTATATTTAGTACATGGTTTCCGGTTTCCCTACCGACTCTAGATTTTTGTGCCCACCCTTAAGTTTTTGTATTGGCATTTAGTGATAAACGATGTTTAAGTCAGAACTTCTATTTTATATATATATAAGTATATTAAAAAAGCTTTTTTAAATTACCGTTCTACCGACTTTAATTTGTTTCAAGCAGAAACAGTAAACACATCTGCTTTGGACTAAACATTATCAAAATTATCGAAGTGTCTTATTGGTTTGACCTAGTAAGAACATACGTGTTTTTCTCATTAAAACAACCACACTATATATTTTGGAGTTTTTTTAATGTTTCATAGGCAGATTAATAGAAGTATGATACATATATCATCACTTTGTTTGTGTTGTCGGTTGCCCTATGTTTACCTTATTATATATACAGTATGTCTATCCTTCCCAACGGTTATACACTGGATTACACATATAACAGCATTGGATAAGTGATGTGGTGGTCGGGTTGCGCATTCCAAGCCAACAAGAGGGATTAATTAAAGTTTTAAATGTTGAAAAATAAAATAAATTTCATAGATATTGGTTATGTAGTGATGTATCCAATTATACAACGCCTAGCCATGTTGATGACATTTTCATGCATGGCTATATAGTTTTCTGATACTAATAAAACAGCATATATACTGTAGCCGCATTAAAGACTCCATTCCAAATTTCAAATGTGTAAGATTATTTTTGCACCAACAATGAAAGTAGATAAGTTTATTGCTATGAAAAAAATTCTCTTTTAGCCTTCCAAAATAAATGGGGTCCGTGCGAACAATTTCTTTATAATTTTTTAAAAAGTTTTCTCCCCTTATTAGTTTGAACTGTTTGCTACCCTCGCATGCTCACTAGTGATGTATCCGATGCCTACAATGTAGCTGGCCAATCAGGGGGTTCTCACCCTCCTGCCTCATCTGTGTTATGCTTCAGTATATTTACCAAATATTACATAGTATCTTTGTATAAAAAAAAATCCAAATGTATGAATAAATAGATGAAAGGACTGAATGAGTGTAAACAATGAAAGAATTGATGGAAATAAAAAAAGTATGACTGAACGTAAACAAGGAATAAATGTAAAAGAAAGGATGAAATGAAAAGAAATGAATGAGTAAACGACTAAATAAAAGAATTAATTAATGAGAGTCCTCTTGCATGAGGACATTTTGAATACAGGACCCCAACCCTGTCAGTATTCAAAATATGTTGTGGAGCAAAAATTAATTCGGAAAAGAAAGTATTGCTATATACATTGCAGATTATTTCTATACATGTTTGCAGGTTTCTTTATAGTTCTGAAAAATTATTGTACATATGACTATTGCACACTTCCCTACTCGAACTCCAAATTCGGAAAAAACGATTTATATACCTCGTTTCGGTTTCCAAGTCGGAACATTCTAGGGGGTCGAATGGTTAGCGACTTTATTTCAGCGATGTTGATAGGAAGCAAAACAAATGTAAGCGTTTCACTGAAATAAAACATGAAAGATCCTGGTGAATGGGGACAAAACAGAATGTAAATCCCGAGGTACGTAGTACATTCAAATGAACTCGTGTTCGGATTCTGGTCTTTCTAATATTCATCCAGGAAATAACTGTACTTAATTAATGGATGTTGTGTGAATAACAATGCTACTTCCATAGCGTGTTGCTTACTCGATTCTCCAGGGGGTTATGTTCACTTTCGCTCTCTGGATTCCTTACTCCTCTGTAATCTTCAAAGAAAAACTTTAGCCTAGCGATTGGTGAGGTGTTTTTTTTTTACCTGAGACCAACGAAATATCTGCTCGTGTGCCCTTCAAATTTGCTATGACATATGCCAGGGGTACAGAGAGCGAACGTGAGCTTAACCCCTTGAATATCGAGGATGGTCTTTCAGAAACTGTCATTTCACGCACCTTTGATGTGGGCTCCGACATTATGGAGACAGGACCACGCGTTGAAAGCAAACCTATAGCTACTGCCTTTTCTAGAACTAGATCATCGAGAGATTCTGGATAAACGTTACTTCTGGATTATCGAGGATGAGTGTGTTGCTGTGTCAAACGCATGTCATCGCTCCTCGTAACATTACATAACAATACTATTAACACAACAGGAGATGTGATTATGACTTTATGGCGCTTATAAATGAATAGTGAATGACAATTTACCGTCCATTATAAGAAAAATAATGTTTACTAGTATTTCCAAGAACTTATATTATAAACATGTATTATATAATTTTAAAGTGCTATTTAATCAAATGACACCCTAAAAATCGAGTAGATACTGTAAATATATAACTCATAACGCACGTTTATGTAGTTGATAATGATATGACCTGACGCGAACGACCAGTGTGCTCAGTTTTATCTTTTGGGAAAGCGGGTGATGAAAATAGCTACGACCGATAAAGCTTATTATCCGGACCATTCAGTAAGTAAACAAGTACATGAACACGCTGTCGACCGACAACACAATGAGACTGATTTCACACATAACACATTCTCGTCTCTTGAGTTTACCCAATACATCGTAAGCAAGAATTATAAGTTTCATAAAATATAAATCTAATGAGATATTTATGTTCACAGTTGGATTTGAATACAAACAAACATGGTTAATTAGAGTATGCAAGCACTGAAAGGGTGCCGCATTTGAATTTCAAACAGCGCAAAGTACGATATCAGTATGTGTTAACGTAAGAAGATTACTCCTTTACAACGCTGATTGAAATGTTATTCTGAAGATGCTATTGCTCATGATAAATGTTTGTATTCGTATTCCAAGTTAGGTGAATAAAGCAAGAATGTACCTTCTCTCTTCGGCTGGAATGACATCTAGAAGTTCACCGACAGCAGCCGCTAAAACGTATGGTTGTACATGTGCAGTTAAGGATTTCTTCCTTACTGATCAAAAACGCCAAGAAAACATTTTCTCTAGTAAATGTCTCGACATGAATCTTTCATAAGCAGTATCAGACTATAATATAATGAGGAATTTTGTGGTAAAATAAAACAAAACTTACTTCAATTAATTGTCCCTTTGAGGTTGTTTTTTTAGAGTCCCACCATAGACAGGATGATTGTGTGTTCGTTTGTTATACCAAACAGTATTTGCATTACGTCTTTCTTGCTTTATAACCTACGCTCAACTTGCGATACCAACATATCTATGGAAGGCGGGGTGTTGGGTACAGAAAAAGGAGGTAGGGCGCCATTTTACAGGGTTTTGATCTTTTCTTCATTTAGGATACCTATTGTTTTCGAGCATAACTTCCTTGTAGTTGTATTTACATCCGCTTTACCTTGTACATGTTTTATCTTTGGAAGGAGGAGATTTGTTTTCAACTATAGAAAATTGCGTAAGGTATGGTTTTCTTTTCAGAAGTAGATTAATAAAGCTTTAGTCATATTATTAAGAAGTTTTTAAGGTATAGGTACAGATTTGGGAGTGGTACAGGGATCCTAGACAAAATCTTCTGCCCGTGTAGATAAGTAAACTATTTAATCAGATGCAATGGTGCAATGTCACTCGCTACATGATTGTACGACGTAACCAAATGCCACATTCAAACGGTATATTGATTAGGAAACATCATTTCTCTAAAAGCCTCTGTAGGTTTCGCTACTTACGACTCATTTGATAAACCTGCTAGTAATTGGTAACCCACCCTGGACGTTATTTCATTATTTCAAATAGCATTGCTATGAGACGTCATCTTCCATTGTGACGTCATAGTTCATTGCAATTTCATCGATTGGGAACGTGATGGTTGTGTATCATGTTTATCTAACTCCCGGTAAACATCGTGTCTTATTTTTATTTGAAAATGAACTTGCTCGAGTTAGATAAACAAGATAACCAACAGTCACTCGATGGGGAACCTCTATCTATATATATTGTCTTTGCTTATCACAATTCTAATTAATTCTGTTATAGTAATGATTGTGTAAATATTTCAACAGAGATACTAATGATCAAACCTGCCATCAGTATAAACATTTCTAATAAAAAATACAGCTGATGAGATTTCTGATCCTGGTCAGTACATAGCTTTAGTCAAACACTTCAATGTCATCATGTGTTGTTATGTCTATGGTTTGATGACATCACTGTAGCCCTGGACAGTAGACATGTCAGATTATGATGAGATTACCGCTTTTCGAGTGTTGGCACCATCGAATGGTCCGAAAAAAGCTTTAGGCATTTTTTCAAACCCATCATATAATGTTTCTTTGTACTTGATTTTTCCCTGTAGAAAAAAACACACTTAATTTATTTTGCGTCAATACTAATTCGTGTTTTACTGTGAACAAACAAAGTAAAGGAAGTATGGTTCAATAGCTATGCAAAAGGACTGTCACTATCTAAGCAGAAAACATGTCTCTCTGTCTCCTTAAACGTGAAATATAAGTTAATCATGAAGAACGTTGTACGATCCGACAACTGTCATAGTGATACCAAT